GGGGGGGGGATGAGCAAGCAGTAGAGGAGTACCGCATCCTGGTTTATCTTGAAATCGACAGTACCTGGGCTGCAAGTGTATCCTGAATTTTGCTTCGTTTGTTGTTAGTTGCGAACTGTTCTGCTTTTTTCAGAGCGCAAGATGACTGCAGATAACGTGTTGAATGTGGACAATCTGATCACACGCCTCTTGGAAGGTTATCTTTTGTTATTTGTAAATGGAGGTGCCTGAAATGAATCTGTGATAAGCTGGGAGATTGATTGTGATAACATCGGAGCATTGAGGAGCGGGGAGGGGGCGGGGAGGGAGGAGAGATACAGTGATAACAAGAGGGAGGGAATGTAATTATACGCAGTACAGGAATGAAACACAGACAGGCTGCCAAGTCGCTGCACATACAGGCCTGTTTATTTGAGAGATCTAAATGGCACTACTTCCAGTGTTTTCATTAATTATCAAAGTAAAACACCCCACGGGCCGTTTGAGCCATGTGGGCGGAAGGGATTAGGAAAAGTAAGAGCTAAACCGGTACTGGGTGACTGTAACTAGGCCGTCCATAAGACGGAGTCGATCCTAAATCCGGTGACCATCTTATTAAATTGGAAGGGGGGTACAAGGAAATACAAGGACGTGAAGAAGATAAACAAAAAACAATGTGTCTTTTGAAGAGGAAATGTTAAGTGGTATATGTGAAAAACGGCTTGCCTGTGTTTCATCCCGAAGCTGTAAACACAGACAGCAGGAGACGTGATTAGGGGCGGGAATCATCAGTACAGCCCCCTAACCACCATGTTTGAATGAACATAGCATGGGCGTATGCTGAGATAGGATTAAAAAAAAATCATGCAAAAGAGGAAAAAAGGGATGGAAAAATCAAAACTAACATGGACCATGAAGTTGTCTGACTTGCTCAGCTTGGATGGGGGTTCTCCTTGCATTGCCATGCTAAAAACAATATCTCTGTTGAAGAACAGCAGAATGTTATGCCGAACTAACGCCAGATAGTATCGACGCGCAAATCACTTTATTCCCGTGATCATCACAGTATAGGTATTTAGCAAGGTTAGCGGTGTGCCTATTAACAAATTTGCGTACGTCGTAACCCCTTTCCAAGTACCCAGAAACTAGTCGTTCGGCCCACCAAACGAGTCGATCTAAAGAGGTGTAGATACGCGAGTATCGCAGCATTTGGAAAATGAGAATTCTCTCATGTAAAGTTCGATCGACATCGCTATTCAGAGCATTGTAAAAGTTTGCCGGGAAGGGAGAGTCCAGAGCCTTGTTACAGACGTCGGAAGTGCAGACAGTGCCATGGTAAGAGATATCCAAATCAAGAAAACAAGCTCTTTGTCCAGAATAGGTACTCTTAAGTTCCAGCGTAGCACCATATATGTCTGAGGCGATGACAGGGAAATCCGGATTATTAACTACGAGGATGTCGCCATTGTATTGAAAGAGTCGTAAATTGACATCTCTGTACATCTTTAAATAACGATATTCCATTATATAAAGAGTTAAATCGGCGATGTCGGGACTAGCATTACCTCCCGTAGGTACGCCTTGAGTTTGTTGGAAGATGGATCCGGCAGAGCGAACATACACCTCATTAAGAACCGTGAAGATGATAGACTTTACCTCGCCCAATGTGTAATTAATAGTATTTAGGAATGGTGTGTTTGTGAACCAGCATTTAGTACCAGAGGGTGCAAATAGGTCCTTACCAGAATTCGAAAAGCATAAATCAGTCAGGTAGGCAAGGCAACTTAGGATGTCAGAATGAGGTAAACTAGTAAATAAGTTACTGAAGTCAGCACTGTATAGATGTCTAACATCCTCGCTAAAGGCGGATAAGTTATTAACAACATCCAAGGAGCTGCGGATACTGAAGTAAATCTGCCTACCCATATTCCTAGCAACTGTATTGCAATAATTACGAAAGTGAGTTCGTAAGTGATCCAGAATGCGATGAGCAGTGGACGCAAGAGGCCGGAGTGTCGGATGGTGCACCCCAGCAATTTTTCCCATACTTCAGATTTCCCATACTTATGTAGCTTAGGAATAGCGTATAAAGTGGAAAGGCGGATATCGCTGTCCTCAATGTGCAGTTTAAATTTTTCCACTAGAGATTTATGCCGATTAACGAGCCCTGCACAGCTTGTTATAACTGGACTATACACGCTGTTACCTAGTATCGCACCGGATGTAGTGAAACCAAGTTCTTGACAAAGCAGTTCAACATAGTATTTTTTGCAAATGAAAATGTAGTTGTTAGACACCTTATCTACTGGGGTAATTACGTAATGACCCTGCAAGAAACGCAATGCCTTATTAAATTAAGGAAATCTGGAAAACACATTACTCAGACAATGGCTTCCCCGACTTCGAAATATGTTTAGGATTCGAGTTTTAAAGGGGTCATAATCCATAATGTCCCTATGATGCATACGTGCCATAGTAAGGATGAACTTGTCGAATGCTGCTGAGAAATCTACGATGACCTCTTCATATCTGCGCCTTACTGGAGTCGATATAGAAGTGGCGATTGCGAACATTGGCATGTAGACGATAGCACGCCCCTAAGGAAGTCGGAATTGTCATTGAGATTTTTATGGAAACATAATTAAATATGCGCGCTAATAGGCTTTTCATAAGCAAATGTTAGAATGACCGATGGAAAAGGGCGATCCGAGAAAAGTTGCCTTGCTAACGTGTCATGAAAAATCGATCTAAGGTGAAGAGAATCGTACATTCGTCCTGGATATGGAATAACTAAGTAGATGTGATGAGACTTTTTGGCAAGGTGATTTGCAGATCATAGATGATTCAGTGGGAAACCTTGTAAGATGCAGCTGTTAACGAAAGGAACCGAACCAGTTGACACTCTTCGGTGTAGCGCACGTAACGTAGATAAGTTAGCTCGATTAAGTCTACCTAAAAGGAGCTTAATTTCATGCGGAGTGCGCGTGGAACAAGATGCAACCCAACCGATTAGGTCCATATCCACGCGCCTAGACTTGCGTTTTCGTCTACCGTGACAGTGCACCCTATGGGGTAACGGTGTTTGAAAATAGGGACTTCTTCCAATGGTAAAAGGCAGAAGTCCGTCGGATATTGTACCGTAAGACCTAAAGTTTTCGTTTAGGCCGTAGGGGTACGCAGTATTAAGTGCCTTAATCCAGAATAACTCACGCTCCTACAGTGCCCTGGGAACAGCTTCGACTGTCTCAACAATTTCAAAACCTAATGAATCTGTATCGTGGTCATGTTGTTGAAAGTGTCGATATAGGATTGTGTTAGTTCTGCGTATAATCCCAAATCGGTTTACCCTTGCTCGATCTCGTAAATTCCTGGAGGTCTGACCAATATGCTGCACCTGGCAAGTTTTACACGTGATCATGTAGACGATACCTTTAGTTTTACTGTTAAGGGGAATGCTTGAAAGACAGAGGGGATTAGAGGAGCGTTGTAGAAATTTTGATTGTGCTCCTCTCCACGCTGATGGTTCAGCAACGCCAAACAAACTGCATATGTTAACACGTAGAAGATTTCAGGTCCCCGTCTTTTTTCACTATTCCTAGCCAGCGATATTCATTGTTTGTATCTCTAAAACTTCTACAGCGTTTATAATCATCGCAGAGGAGTAATATCTTGTAGGGGGAGGGGGTTGAAAAACTAGTGAAAACAGGGTATACATGACCATAACTGGTGCTTCTAGTAGTAACAAAGCCAGTAATTGAGCGGAATGATTGTAGTGCTGCAGTTTTTTTTTAACCAGCAATGGCTCTAGGGATGGATTCATCTGCTGCGCATACGAATGTTTACAAGTTTTTTAGACTTTTATTAGTTTATGAAGCATTTACGGGCATTTATGGCGCAATGGCAAGTCCTTCTACTCGGACAAATGGCAGGCATTTACGGGCGCCTCAGCAGCGCAGGATAACCGGTCCTTCCACTGTTCATTCATTTAGATGATAAATTGGTACTCACATATGTCAAGAAATCAAATCCGCCATCAGCTTGCTTCTAAGGAATTGGCGGAGTTAGCCGAATGAACAGAACACACACGCACGCACACATACATACATACATACACACTGTCCGATCAAAGCCATCTTCACTTCAGCTGTTTAATTTTTATGCGTTTTGTGCTGTGTAACAGCATTACAAAACGCATATTGTCACGAGGTTATCTGTTTGTGTGTCCCACATTTTGCCTCGCACTTCCGCACTTTCAACTCGGGAACCACAAAAGCTAGGCGGCTGAAATTTTGGTATAATGTTCCCCGCCA